TTCCTATGTCTTTTGATTGGGGCATTTAATTCATTTACATTTAAAGTTATTATTGACAGGTACTTATTCATTTTTTCCCTTTGCACCTGTGAGCCTCTCTTTCTCACACTTTTTCTTCATCTTTGTAAAGCAGTCCCTTTACCACTTCTTGCAGTGCTGGTTTCATGGAGGTGTATTCTTTTAGCCTTCTTTTGTCTGGGAAATTGCTTACCTCACTCTCCATTTTAATCAAGAGCCTTCCTGGGTAGAGCAGTATTGGTTACACGCCATTTCTTTTCATTACTTGGAATATTTTTTGCCATTCCCTTCTGGCTTGTAGTGTTTCTGTTGAGAAGTCAGCTGCTAGCCATATTGGTGCTCCCTTGTATGCTACTACCTGTTTCTCCCTTGTTTCCTTTAGGATTCTCTCTTCATCCTTGATATTTGCCATTTTAATGATGATGTGTCTTGGAGTGGGCCTCACTGGGTTCCTCTACAATGGGACTCTTTGTGCTTCCTGGACTTGTGTGACTTTTTATCTCCTCCAATTTGGGAAGTTTTCCATCATTACTTGTTTAAACTGGTTCTCTATCCTTTGTTCCCCTTCTCATTCTGGTATTCCTATTATATGGCTATTACTACTTTTCAGATTGTCCTGCATTTCCCTGAATGCTGCTTCATTCTTTTTTAGTCTTTTTTCATTTTTTTTTTTTTTTGCTTTCTGAGAGCTTTCTTATACCTTGTCCTCCGGCTCACTGATTCGATCCTCTGCTTCATTGAGCCTGTTTTTGATTCCTTCTACTGTGTTCTTCAATTCAGAAATTGTATTCGTCATTTCTTCTTGCCTCTTATTGACAGTTTCTATGTCTTTTTTCATGCTGATATAGTTTGCAATAAGTTCCTCATAGTTTCCCTGTAGTTTTGGTAATTCTCTTTGAGCTCACTGAGCCTACTGAGTTTCATTAGAACCATTGTTTTAAACTCAATATCTGATAGTTTACTTGCCTCTGTTTCATTTAGCTCTCTTTCTGGGGATTCCTCATTTCCCTTCCATTGGTGGGTGTTTCTTTTTCTTCCTATTATTTGTGAGACTCTTCTTTTTTTATTCTGCTTCTTCAATTGATCTGTCTTGATATTCTGACCTAGTGGTGTGAACTTCTCTGGTAGGAAACCACTTTTTAAAAAAAATTTCTTTCTGGATCTGCCTCTAATGATGTCAGCTGTTGACCCTGTCTGACCTTAGGCAGTGTTTAAGAGACTTCCAGGAATCTACTGTCTATGTCTGCCCCCTCCAGTTGTTCATCTAGTCACTCTGCCCTCATCAGTCAGGGCAGGGTAGAGTCCCTCCTGTGGGTGGGGCTATTGTGTCCTTTCATGCTGCCTCCACTTAGGGGAGTGGTCTGACTGAGTAAGATGGCTGCTGTCCTGTCACAGGGGAGTCAGCACTGGGATCCCCCCGGGGTATTCCCTCAGTTCTCTCCCCAATGCCCACGTCACCAGACTTTCCTCAAACATCTCTAGACCAACTCTGTGTCCTTTTTTGCCATGGATCTACTATCTGTGCCTGCCACTCTGTACTCAGCAGTTGGGCTGGCCCCACACCAGGCGGGGGCCAAGCCTACTGGGAGCGTAGCTATTGCATCATTTCATGCTGCTGCCACTCAGGGGAGTGGTGTGCCTGAGCAAGATGGCAGCTGTGGAATGTGGGGTGAGTCAACACTGGACTCTGCTGTCCACTTTCTCAGTTCTCTCCCCAAAGCCTTCCTCCCCAGTCTCTTTTCAGGTGGTTAGAGCCCACTCTGCCCTCACCTCTGCCAGAGCCCAAGATAAGTGACTGCCACTACAAATTTTTGCGTTGGTCCTTTAAACGGCTCTTTGTATCTCCAGCCACCTGTCTCTGAAAGAGAGCACCCTGCTGCTTTTCACAGATGGCTGTTATCTGTGTGCTTTTTGGGCTCTGGTGCTATAGGCTGGAGATCTCCACTCATGGTTTAGACCCCACTCTTCTCAAGGGGATCCAACTGGCCATTTCAATATCCCTCTGGTGCTGCCTCCCATGGGTACCTAGTCTACCTTCTTGAGCCTCTACAGTACTCCTTACCAGTTAGGTTGTGCTAAAGTCAGTTCCTCTGTCTATCTGAGGTTTTAAGGCTCCTCTCTCGCTATTGTTCAGTTGTTTTCCAGGTGATTTCTCCACAATTTAGTTGTAATCCCAGATTGGTCCTGGGAGGAGGTCATTGTGACTTCCATTCTCTCCTCCACTGTCTTGAATTATCTCTCATTAAAATTTTTAATGTGAAAAACCTATTATTATAAATTTATGTGAATATCAATGTTGATTGAGATTTAAAATGCATTGTTTTATTATTTTGTTCCATTATTTTTTATTTTATAAATATTTACTTTTTATACTTATTTATATTATTTTATTATATTGATATAAAATTATATTAATATATAGATCAAGCCTCAGTGTTAGTCACCTACAAAGAACACATTTTTTCCACAAAGCATGACTGTTGTGTTTCAGAAATGTTGCCTTTCAGTCAAAGGAATATTCAAATCCTAAATTCTAGGATTGCAGTCTTTACATCATTTTGAATAAGAACTTCCATCACTGTGAGAGATGCTTTAAGCAGCTCCCGGTCTTTACCATTGGTTCTTGGTGATTCCTGGGACATTTTATTATTCTCAGAGCCTAGGTTTACTCATCTTCCTTTTCTGGAAACCCCCAAGTTGTGTGGTCCTGAAGGAAATTGTTGCCTTCTGCTACAGATTTTTCCTTTCCTGCCCCAGATTAGCCATGAGGTGCCAGGTGACTTACGTTTAGCCAATTCAGTGCTTGCTCCCAAAAGTTTGTACCTGGATACAGTGAAAGTGTCAGCAGGACTGTCGTTCTGGTGACTCCAGAGGGAAGTTCACCTCTTGCATTTGCCAACTTCTAGAAGCTGTCCTGGTTCTCTTCCAATGGGGTTACTTGGACTCCTACTTAGGGCACCATGCTTGCTTCTCTAACTGTATTTTACTTCCCACTTAAAAGGGTGCTTGTGATTCCATTGGGCCCACCTGATGATCCATCTTTATTTATATTTTAAAAGATTTTATTTATTTATTTTTTGAAAGTGGGGAAGGGAGGGAGAAAGAGACGGAGAGAAACATCAATGTGTGGTTGCCTCTTGTGTGCCACCTACCAGGGACCTGGCCCACAACCTAGCCATGTGCCCTGACTAGGAATCAAACCGGTGACCCTTTGGTTTGCAGGCTGGTCCCCAAACCACTGAGCCACACCAACCAGGGCATCAACTGTAATTTTCAAAAAATCCTTTGCAAAATCCAAGGTTTTTATGGTTTATCCATGTTTTCTTCAAAGCTTTATAGTTGTAGCTCTTACATTTAGCTATTTGATCCATTTTAAGTTACTTTATGGATGTGGGGTGAGATAAGGTCCAACTTTGTTCTTTTACATGTGGCTATTAACCTGTCCCCTTTGTTGAAAGACTCTTCTTCCTCCACTGAATTGTCTCCCTACCTCTGTGGAAAATTAATTGACTATAAATGTAAGGGTTTATATCTGAGCTCTCAATTCTATTCCATTGTCTGCCCTTATGTCCATACCACAATGCCTTGATTTCTGAAGTGGTATAGCAATTTTGATATTGAGAAGTCTGAGTCCTTCAACATTTTTTCTTTTTTTAGATTGTTTTGACTATTTTGGATTTCTTGCATTTCAATATGAAGTTTAGGATCTGCTTGCCAACATCTGCAAAAAAGTCAGCTGAGATTTTGACAGGGATTGTGTTATATCACTTTGGGGAGTATTGCCATTTAAACAATATTAACTCCTCTGGTCCATGAACATGAGATTTCTTTCACTTTATTTAAATATTTTTTAATTACCTTCAACAATGTTTTGCAGTTTTCATTGTGTCTTAAACTTTTGTTAAATTTATTCATAAATATTTTATTCCTTTTGATGCTATTGTAAATTGTTTTATTTTTATTTTCAGGTTGTTGTTTGCTAGCATATAAACAATTGAATTCTGTGTATAATCTTGTATTCTGCTTTCTTGTGTGTCTACCGAGACGATAATATTTTCTTGTTTGTTGATATGGTATACTACATTAATTGATTTTTGGATGTTAAGCCTTCCTTCCATATTTGGCATAAATCCTATCTGGCCATAGTGTACAATGTAATGGCTTTTATGTGCTACTGGATTTGGTTTGCTAGTATATTATTGAAACTTTTTGCATCTATACTTATAAGAGATATTAGTTTTTTTAATAATGTTTTTGGTTTTGGTATATATTTGTCTCAGACAATGAGTTAGGACTTGTTCCCTTCTCTTTTATTTTTTGAAGGAGCTTATGTAATATTGGTGTTATTTTTTTTTTTAGTGTTTGATAGAATTCACCAGTGAAGCCATCTGGGCCTGAGTTTTTCTTTGTGGGAAGTTTGAGTCAGTTTTGGCATTTTCCATCTTTCTGTGAATTAGTCCATTTTATCTAAGTTATCTAGTAGGTTGATATACAGTTGTTCATTGTATTCCCTTTTATTCGTTTTAATTTCTATGAGTTGGTATTGATGTCCCCTCTCTTATTTCTAATTTTAATACTTTGTATCCTCTCTTTTTTCTTAGTCTGTTAGCTAGAGTTTGTGAATCTTTTTTCTGGATTATGTATCACTTTTATAAGCAAATTATTGGCAGAAGACATAAAAAGTGAGGGGTAATACTTACAACTGGAGGTGGGAGAACATCAAGTAAGTTCAAGCTTTCACTGTTGCATTCCTCCTAAATGCTAATATGGTTGATCTCCAGTGTTTACTATAACTCTTTTTATCATCTCTCTTCGGAGGGATATGGTCAGGAAGAGCTTGGGGACTACAGGGAGCTGGTGCTTTGTCATTACTTACCAGTAGTGAAGGGCCATAAACTGTGGGTAGGATTCATTTCATACCATTGTCCCGAGACTGAAGAAACTGTGGTTCCATGGCCATTTGTTCTGATGTCATAACTCACCTATACTGTTTCTGCCGTGTTTCCAGTTCTTTACGTCTGTGCTGCTTGAGAATGTGAATTTGGTCATCACGGGGCAACTTTGCTGTGAGAAAAGGACAAGTGTGAAAAAAGCCTAAGGAAGAATTACAACAACATCCAATACTAAGGTTTCCCTCAGACTCCCTGCTCATGCTGAGTGCTTTACATGAATTGTCTGTTTAAGCCTGAGAACACTCCCCTCTTTTGTTAAATGAGACTCAGGTTGAATAGCTTTGCCTTTGAACTTTACTGAAGGTCACATACCTAATTAATGGATTTTCAACACAAGACTCAAATCCCATGTTCTTAGTCACTCTTTTCACAAAAGATGAATCTAGTTTCTCCTCCTTTTGCCTGCTCACTCAGCAAGCCTGGTAGCCCTGCACTTTAGGGCCTGAGGATCATGTCCAGATGCATAAGCCAGGCTGCTTTCACTTTGGGCTTTACGAAGACAGGCCAGTGACTGTCTCCCTCCTGCAGGGACCTCAAAGTAGGTGTGTATTTTCTCTGGGTGCTAATAAACCCCAGCTCCAGAGGGGTGGAGTGAGAGTACACAGGCACACAACCAGCCATGCCCTCCCTCTGAACTTATAGTCCTTCAAGGGGAAGATTATGACCCCTTTTTGTCCGAGGGTAACTAGGCTCCCTGGTAACAAGTATCCCTGGGATGTACCCCTAACTGGGCAGTTCTCTAAATGTCAAGTCTGTGGCATCACTTTCCAGACTCACAGATATCTAGGCCCAAACTGCCATTTGTGATGTCACAGTAGGGCTTGGGCTCCAGGGCCCGCCATGCACAGGGGCCGTGGGCTGGCTTGGTCTGCACAGTCACCAGTGGTTGAACCTAAAGTCCCACTTTCTGCTGAAAGAGAAAGAACCTAAAATCTGTCATCAAAAGCAAGACCCTCAAGCGTGCAGACCACAGTCTGGCACTTCCATGGAAGCCATTCTTCATAGAGATGGCCTGATATGGAGGAGGAGAGAGGCTGGTGGCAAAGATTAGCCAAGGCCGTGAGCTCTCTGAATGACTCCCCCTTGCACGCCAGCTTCTTTGCTGTGTGTGAGTCACAGCTGGGCCTGGTCAAATTTCTGCCTCACTTCAAGTCATGGCCCTTCAGTTTGCTCACACTCTAGACCAGGAATAATCAGATGCCACATGTCCATAGAATGAGGAGGGAGACAGCTGCTTCTGTCAATGGCACCATGTAGTATTCTTAGTTACAACATACTTCCTATCATTAGTTCATTTATTATTTACAGAAGTTCCACAGAGTAGATAAAATGAAAATGATAACTGCCCCCATTTTTTTAACTAAGAAAGCCAAAACAAAGGAAGAAAAAGTTCTCCTCTACCAAGTGTTCTTAAACTATCAGACTAGCCACACACCACACCCCATTCTTTCTGACATTGAATTTAACTTAAGAAACCAAACTCCAAGAATATTTCTAAACTGAATGAGTGGAGCTAGGATTTTTTTCCCCCTGACCTCATGGCAGGAAAAGGATCACAAAATTTACTCTGGTGTTGGCCACTAGACAGGAGTGTGGGCTAAGAACTCTTGGGTGCTGCTCTGCGGTAAGGTAAGAACAAAGACTAAGAGTAGGCATTTACAGACTTATAGAGAAATTTACCAGAAAAAATTCTATGACTGTTGCATTTGGTAATAAAAACAGAGCATGTATTTTGAGTGTTTTTTGCCTTGTTTTTTATTTCATTTATAGTAGTTAATTTTTATTGTATTTTACAAAAATATCAGTCTGTGATGGAATGGAAGTTTTAAAAATCTGGTCCTCCCTTCACCTAGAGAGCTGGAGAAGCATTACTATCAGCCCCTTTTTCAGGTGACCTCTGGAATTCCTGCCACTCAAATTCCTTGACTGTGTTCACTGGCTTTACTTTAACTAACAGCATAAAGGGTAATCATGATCTGACCTGTCCCCACCCTTCCCTTAGCCACTTGCTCCACTTCTGAAATGGCAGATGAGATAACTTTGAAACCAGCTCAGTGGGAGGAAGAGGGGCTCAGGTCCATTTTGATTATAAAGACAATAACCATTGTTCCCAAGTATTGGACAGGTACGGGGCCAGGCACTGCGTGGTGTGCTTTACTGCATCCTCTCACTAGATTCCCACTATGACCCTAGACATTGGCATTATTATCTCCATTTCGCCTGTAAGGAAGCCAAGGCAACTTGATCCAGGTCACAGAGCTTTAAGTGACAGAGCCCAAGTCCATATTCAAACCCAGGTATGTCTCTACTAAAGCCCACACTCTGAGACACTATCTACTATTTTAGACTTAAGCCTCATTCTCAGTCTTCTGTGTAGACACCACAGGGAACTGGACAGTGTTGGCATTTGTATGTTGGATCTGAAGTCACCCATGTCTCCAGGAAGCAGCCAGTTGGACTTAGAAATACGAGAGCCATGAGTCTCTGCTGCTCTATCAGGCAACAGGGAAGCCTGCAGTTAGCTGCCATTCCTGCTCTGCATGGGGGAATAGGAGTAAACTATTTTGCAGTGATTAACAGAAATCCAACAAGGAACATGAAGAGAAAAAAGGTGGTTCTGCACCAGGGATGCAGGATTCTTGACAGAAGCAATGTCTTTGGGGGGCAAGTGGAAGGTTAGGGCTTCCAGGTGAAAATCCACAGGCAGGCCAGAGATGGGCACTGTTATTATTCTCATGGATACAGTTCTTTGAAGAAGGGGGATATGCAAACCCCCTCAGTTCCTGGGAGACTCAGGGAGCGAAAGGGGCCTAAACTGCTTACCTCGTCCATCTCGTAGGACAATCTCGCCCTCACCGGTAATCCAGCGGTAGCAGGGGAACTCAATGTAATCCCCATAGGGCGTTTTCAGCGTGATATACTTCAGGTACCAGTCATCATGAAGCCAATACTTGCGCTTCTCGATTTTGACCAGCTGGATGTCCCCCAGTTCTTCATCCACTGTCACATCATAAGAATCAACCTGAGGAGAAAAGGCAAATGAGACTCTTTGAGTTCTCCCGAGCATGCATATTACCAACTGAGTTTATTTAGCTAGGATGTCTGCAGAATGCCTGCCTTCCCCATAGCTCTGTGTTGAGCCTGCACCATTGCCTTTTGGGTGACTTGTGTAGCAGCTCTCAGGGGCAGATGGACAGAAAGGGTGAGAGGGCTCCAGCACTGCATTGGGACTGTCAGAGGCCAGCAGGTTTGTTTGGGAAGCCCTGGAATCCATGCCTCTCAGGCACTTTCTAAACCAGATTTCACCAATCCTGGAGCTTTTTCCTTGGTGGTAGGACCTAGAGTAAAGTAAGTGGAAGGCAGGGTAGTTCATGCTCCTTGCAGCCCCAGGCATCAATAATCCCTCTCTTGCTAAGCCACAAGCAGAACCTGAGAGGACAGCCTAAGTGGAATGAGAAGTTGGATATTTTCAGCAAACACTCTCTTGGCTTCGAGCACAGTGAGCAGTTTGCATGTCGTGGTTGCCAATGATGCAAGACACCTGTGGTTAGAAAGCAGAAATCTTATTATGCCCTGTGGTCTAGCCTGGGTTCTGAGGACTAAGGAGCCAGGTGTGTGGATGGGAGGGAGCGGCGGGGGGACACTTCTTGGTCTCTAACAGCTGTTTGAACACATCTGTCTGCCAGAATGCTTCATCCTGCAAGGTGAAAGAAGCCTTTTGCCTTACAACATGTGCTGACCCCCAGGGCCTATGAGAACTTGGGGAGGGGTGCTGTCTGTACTACAGGGCCTGTCTGATTCCTAGGGAGAAGCCTGCAGGTTCTGGGTGCAGAGTTAAAAGAGGAGTTCCAATACAGGGCTGGATGACCTGAGCAGCTAGAAGGAGGGGAAAGAAAAGAAGAACACAACTCTGATTGGGTAACTTCTGGGGCTGGGATGAGAAGAGAGACCCCTGAGTTGAAACACCAGTAGACCACGCAGAAAAGTTCTGGCAGGGCAAGAATCCCACTCTGGATCCTGCCTGCCCTGGAGATGCAGAACCCAATAGAGAAATCCCCACAGGAGTGGGGAGGAGGGAAGTTAGGGACAGAGGTTGAGGTAAGCCAGGTGTCAGGGCAGCATGGCCAGCCTCAGGGGGTCCCAAGGTGACTGACTCTAGGTCTCAGCAAATTGATTTACTCCCTGAGGCTATGTTTCTTCATTTATCAAGGGGAGTTGATGCCTAGTTTTCAAGGCCATCAAGAAATCCAAATGTTAGGTCTGAGTAAGCTCGTTTCTCCAATGGCACAGGTCACTTGGCTGTGGTATGCATCAGAGCCACCTAGCCCTCCCTCCCTGGCTCCTGGGGGTTGGGTCACAGGGCAGCAGGCCCCCACACTTCCTGCAAACAGCTGTGAGCTAACATGAGCCCCTGCACTGAGGTCCATCCCTTCTACACACACCCATAAATAGATGTGGTAGGAAGAAATTAAGCCTATGGAGTTTGAACTTCTTGGCTCAAAACCTGGAGTGAATTTCTGTGAAGGTGGAGAAGGTGCTTTCAGTGCTGGCCGTACAGGCTGAGAAAGGGAAGTCAGTGTGTGGTGAGGCCTGGGTCTGGGCTGTGGGTGGCTCCTCCAAGGGAAGTGGCTTTTCTGTGGTCCTGAGAGGCTGGAGGGGGCTGAAGGTGTCCTGGGGGTTGATGCCAGGAAGACTGGGACTAAGGGAGAGGGGATAGCCATTCTCAAGTAACAGGTGCCATGAACATTTTGGTGGACACTCTCATGGGAAGGAAGAGCTCAGCACCTTGGGATGCACAAGAAAGGGAGATGAGGCTCAGGAAGTCTCCCCAGGACTTGGGTGATCCTCAGAAGAAAGGCCATATGTCTGGCTAGTGATGGTGACTGACAAGGGAAAGATGGAGCCACTTCTCTGAGGGAGTGGAGAGCAAGGTCACCCTTCAACAAACCTGTGGTGGAGTCATAGGAGAAAGGGACCCACCAGTTTCCCCACCCACCCATGCAGGCCTGGCAGAGGGATTTGAAGTTTCACCCCGGAAAAACAGACTGAACAAACTCACAGGGATTCCACATGTCATCAGACAGGGTCTTTGGCAGTGCAAGAGGGACATGCCAGCCAGTCTGACTTGCCTCTGGCTTCAGACTCAGTGTTATAGGGGGAGAACAAGGGCTTGAGGAGTTCAGCCCCACTCAATTCAGGAAGTGTTTTAGGGACAAAGTCTGGTGACTGTGGCTTTGGCATCTAATGGAGTCACTATTGGAGAGCCACAGAGGACAGGAAGGCCTCCCAGAAGATTGCAGGATCCCAAGCATAAACAGCAAAGTCAGATCTTAGGAAGGTCCAACCTTACTCCTTCCTCTCCATGGGCCAGTGCCGAGGTGGCTGCTATGTTTGTTGTCTATTTGCCCTGCACTTTGAATTTTCATGTCCATTCAGGAGTGGACACTATAAACAGTGGATGGCCCATACAGGCCCTCGATAAATACCGTACATGTGTATGGCTGCATGGATGGTTCCCATTTTACAGAAAAAAACTGAAGCTCAGAGAGGTTAGGAAGCTGCCATGCCTTTGTGTAATTGTGGGCCTGTGATTACAATCCATACCTGTCTGACAGCCAGTCCAGGTTCCTCCCACTGTCCCTGTAGCCACATGGTGGGAAAAGCCCTGGACTGGGAGCCAATGACCTGGCTCTGAGCCCTGGCTCTGAGCCCTGGCTCACCTTCTTCATGGAATATGAAGGGACACTGTGGGATAGAAGGACATAGAAACTTCTTAAGAGATGATATTTGAGGCAGCTCTTGGGACTTGGTAAGATTTCAGAGGTGAGGTGAATGGGAGGAGAAGGATGGGCAGGGCATTTTGGTTATAGAAAAGGGGAGAGCAAGATCCGCGAGGTGGGGAGGAGGTGGCTGGAGCATAGTGCTCCTTGGGGCAGAGGTGGCAGGTGCTGTGGTCAGATGCTGGAGAGAGATGGAGCCAGGAAAACACGCAATTCACCAGTCTCATTTTATGGGAGGGCCACTTTGCTCATTTCACCTGTTGCTGTCAACTCTTTTATGAATATTTCAGCAAAGTGTTAGCTGGCCATTTTTCATTTGAATTTTATATCAGTATTTTAAGAAATGTTTCATTTGTCTCTGCCCCCAGATCCCTGCTGTTGCTGCAGCAGGGATCTCTGCTGGGGCAAGGACAGAGGAGAGTCATGGAATGGCCCAGCCTGGGACACCCATCTTGGAGGGCTCATAAGGGGCTGGTAGGGTTTCAGGGAGAGAGGAAGATGTTAAGGATCAGAAAGAGGGAGATTAAGGGGTGGACATGGGAGAAACTGGGGCAGAGAGAAAGAGAAAGGGAATAGTGGCTAGGGATATTGAGGGGGAAAGAGGAAGAAGGAGATAGTGAAAGGAAAAATTTGAGCAGATAAGAGGAGAGAAATAGGAGACTTTGGGGGACTGTGAGGAATAGGGAGTAGAGGGAGAAAGGGAAGAAAAGAGAGGAGGCAGACTGCAGGAAAGAGAGGGGACAGAGACGGAAAACTGGGAGATAGAGATTATAGGTCAAAAGGAAACATTTATTCTTCATTAATATATTATGAGAATGAGGTATTCTAGAATGTATTATTCATGAATATACTACAAGAATATTCACTGAATATATTTAAGAAGTATGTACAATTATATGAATTGTTTACCCTTATGGAATATATTTCCAGATAATATATTGCCTTCTGTTTTCCTAAAGTGCTGTCATAGAATGAAAATGGGTCAAGTAAGATTTCCCAGAAATATTCTGATCTATTAAAGTCATCCCATCTTACTTGAATTACTTTAAGTCAACAGGGTTAAAGAAACACATCACTTTGTTAAACTTCCCATACTTGGGCTAGTCTCTGGGCTCTTCAGGTACAAAATCTGGGCTTTTCTCAGTAGACAGTGAGGAGCCAGTGAAGGTGTGACTGTTTACAGGACAGTCTTTCCTGTGGAGACTACAACTCCCAGTGCTGTCCTAAATCACTCTGCAAAACTGATGAAAATAATCAGGGATCTGTGACTCAATTTATTGAGAAAAAAATCAGTCCTGTCCATTATTTTACCAAGGAAGAATAAGGGATGTTGACCAGCTAATGACTTGGAAATGATTGAATTTGCTACCTGAAATAATCTTTACTGTTATTAACCATAATGACTGTAACACTTTTCAAGTAAAATGGGATAGCTTTATCTTCTCAGCAAGTATTTCCTCTTAAGTTTTTTCTTTCACCTTTACTCAAAAGGGACGGATTGTCCTTAAAGGGGAATTGGCTGGAGAATGAGGAAGTCACTCTGGGCTGTGCAAGACAAAATGTGGAGTAACTTTGCATCAACAGGAACTTTCTCAAAAGCTGATTTTTTTTTTTTAAAGAGCACTTCAGAGCCAGCTGGTTTCTCTGCACTGCAGCAACCCCCCTGACTTGCTCTCTGCCACCCCAGTGGAAATGTGACATGAAAACCTCTCCTGAAATTTGCCTCTGAGACACTCACTGAGGTGTTAAATCACAATGGCATTTGAATGAATTCTCAGGGCTTAGAAGACAGACGGAGGGAGGGAAATAACAAGTAGAACAGTGCTTGCATCCCTCTTCCAACCAACAACCCATTATGACCACACCACTGTGTCTCTTCTGGGGAGAAGGCACACATGGGTGCCCTGCACTGCACAGTGAGCACACTGATGTGTTCAGTCCGTGGAGGAGAACAGGGCCCATTGTGGTCCACTCATAAAAGGGAAATAGTCTGTATCCTGTTCTCTTCCCTGAGGTGTTGGGGGAATCCATAAATAATAGAAATAAATGAAGGTGCTTCAGAAATGACAGAGGGTGTCGTTTCAAATGGATGACTAATTATCTCTACTGTACCTCCATTCCCAGGAATGTTCCCTGGTTAGGGAAACCAAGCAATAGGAGTTTGTTCTTATACTCAACACCTAACCCTTAGTGAAGGGAGCTCAAGCCAAGCTAATACAGGGTGGGGCAAAAGTAGATTTACAGTTCATATGGAAAATAATACAATAATCAATAAATAATACAAGAATAAACTATTCTGCTCTGTTCACAATTGTAAACTTACTTTTGCCCTACCCTGTATGCTGAACTTGGCTAAGTGCCCAGTTGGCTTATAGTGAGTTTCTTAGGCTCCAGGGTAGGAATCAAGCCCGCTTTCAGGCTGGAATCTGGAAAATGTTTTAGGCTCCAGAGACCTAAAACACACATCAAATTTTATCCAATAAGTATTTGGTTGAGACATATGAAATTGTCATTTTGTCTTTTAAACATCATCAACTCTGAGCAACTTTATACGATTCAAACTTATAGTCAACTAAGTGGTGGCAAGACAATTTTGTGAAGTCTACGTTTCTTTGGTCACTTTCAGGAGCTGGTGGTGATAGCAGGTAACAGATAATCTATGGGCACTGCAGTGTGTTGGGACTATCATAATAGTCATTTACTGAGCACTGTCTATGTGCTTGCCACTGGGCTGGACATATTACTAAACACAGGCCATGAGAACTGTGACCTGTCATGTTCACAGGGCTAGAATTCATGCCCAGGCCAGCATCAGGATCCTGTTTGAGTAAGGACATCTGTGCCTGCCCTCACACAGCACCAGGCACCACAGACTAGAGGTGCAATAAACATTGGCTCCTTTTGCTTCCCAAACTCCCCCAGCTTCAGGTCTCCAGTGAAGAGGGGAGAAGGGAAGTCCCATTCCCCCTTCTTCCACTGAGCCCTCACACCTCAGGTGGAATACTCCCTGATATACACTCTGCTGGGAGTCAATGACAACCTTCAGGTTTGCCAGGCTTCTCCTTGCTTGGATTCTCTTGTTCCTTCCCTCTAAATTCCCCTGGGGACCAGTCCTGAAGCCATTGTGTTGTGAAGACATCTGTTAGGGCCACTCTAGGCCACTAACCCAGCCTGGGGTCACCCAGGAAAACTGGAGCTGCCTGAAGCCAACCCTATCATTTTGGATTTGGGGAAACTGAAGCCCAGAGAGGAGACAGAGCAAGTGGTCAGGCCCAGATGGAACTCAGTCCTCCAGGTCCCCAGACCTGCATTTTCTGCCACAGCTGGCAGCTGCTCTGAGGTGCCATCTGTGCTTCACAGCAGAACAAGGACCTGCAGTGTCCACGACTATGACTCTTCTCCCCCAGCCCATGGAAGGACCCCTAGGAAGTGGGGTACTAGTGACACTGCCCATAGTACTTGCCTAGTTTCGGGGTCTCTCAGAGGCTCTGGCCCTTATCTGTGAAATGGAGAACAAACCTTTCATCTTCCCTGATCCCTTGGGAGAAGAGCCTCGCCCTGGAAAAGCCCTCGATCGTGGGTCCCAGCCGGTTCGACAGGGCCCTGGACAAGCTTCCAAACGGTCCAGGTCTCCCAGAGAGATTGCTGGCTGGGTCCTGGCCGCTCCGATAGGTCTCGAGATTCCTCTGCCTGGGCCCCCCTCCCCATCCCCTCACCCCATGGTCCTAAGGGGCCCCTGCCCTATCCAGCCGCGCGCCCTCACCGCGCCACGCTCGAAGTCGTTGTAGAAGGGTTTGTCCAACAGGTGCTTCTCGCTGCAGCCTGCAGAGCCCACGAGGCTAAGGTAGATGTAGTCGTCGGTGCCAGCGAACCACTGGCTGCCGGTGGCCACGGTAACTGTGTAGGAGGGCATGGCGGCGGGCGATCGCAGCGGGCAGTGGGCTCAGCGAGCTCTTGTAGCCTCTGTACGCTGGTCCCCGGGCGTCTGCAGCTCACCCGGACCCAGCGCCGTTTTCTCCCTGCGCACTGTCCCAGCCCCGCCCCAGGCCCGCCCCCAGCCGGGCCACAGTCTGCCGCACCCTGCCCTCCTGCCGCTCTAACCTGGAGAGGACTGCCTTGGATGCTGGAGGAGTTACCCATTCCTGCGTTCATCTACGTGACTTGACGTTTGTTTTAGTACTAAGGGGACTGAGGCAACCTCATCTGTCATCCAGTTATCCATCCATCCACTCAGCCTTTCATTCGCGGTTACTACTCTTCCCTCCCACTTCTGGCCTCAGTCCCCTCACTGCCAGGCTCCAGTGAGGGGATAGGGCTGGGCTCCCTGGACCCCGCAACACGCATGCTCTCATCAAATTCCCAGTGTGCGTGGAAGGCCGAGCGACAGAAACAATGACCCATACTGTGTGGTCTGGAAGTCCACAGCAGGAAGAATACCGCACCTGGGGAGTCATGGAGGCTTTCTGGAGGAGGTTGCATGCGAACTGACACTGAGGGTGATCTGAGACTTCCCTCAGCATTGCTTCTTCCACAGGCTTTGTTGAATGTCACTCTGGGCAGGGTACAGGTGGGTACCTAGATGAGACAGATGCCATCCACGCCCAGGCTGTGAAATTGACATTATATAGTGGAAGGCAGAGCAGCCAGAGAGAGGGAGGCCAGGACAAGAAAACCCAAATCTGGACACTTTAGGGTTGTCTGGAGGAAGTCAGCCAGCTTTCAAAGACGAGGGGCTGGGTGGCTGGATGAACGATGGGAAAGGAGTTAGGCTTGTTTGAAGATAGCTTATGGGAATGGACCAATGGCTGGAAGTCCTAAAGTAAAAGATGTGGACTCCACAGCAAGAATGTTTCAGGAGTTAGAGCGGTTACGGGTGGGGGTGGGGGTGGGGGACCTACTGCCCAGCGGAGTAATCTGTTGACTTTCTAAGTGGTGGTGGGCGGAGGCTTGGAAAGGATGTTAGCAGAAAGCTTTGTGCACTAGAGGGAAGTTTCCCAATTGCTCTGGCCTGCTCTCAAAAATTTTCTGCATTCACCTGTACCTCGCCCACACCCTCATTTAACTATCACCCACCCTCCTCCGCCCTACCCTCAACTTTAGAACTGAGTCTATGAGCTGAACTAAATTAAAAGTTAGTTAATTCCATGTGAGGCGGAGGATATGTTGAGTCACCTGCTTTGTACACCTACTTCTAAGTATGTAAAAAGATGCAGGCCAGAGGCAGGCTCCCCATTTCTGGGAGCCTGGGCTCTACCTGGTGGCAAGTCCAACTTACTCCTCTACCTGGCAGGACCAAGACTGTGGGCAGAAAGTGGGTACGGTTCCAATTCTACACCTGGGGGTTGAGGTCAGATTTCAGTGCAACTGGGTTTACTCATCAAAAGACAGGCACTGGACAGGATTCTCTGGGAATCAAACTGGAGAACATGCAAGGCTCTGGGCACAGTTGTGATGTGACAGATGAAGATGCCACAGCAGTGGGACCTAGACTCTTCCAGGCAAGATATCTGTTACAAGAAACCCTGGAGGAGGTAATAAATGGTTCTGGGGTTTCCCTCCAAATCTAAGAACAAAATGCTATTGTATTTCTTTAAAGACAAAACACTATATATATTTTTTGACAAATATAATGAAATGCCATTGTAGGAAATATAGAAAATATAGAAAAGTTTGATACAGAAACAAAATGTATAACATACAGAAAAGGCAATTAGTAAAATTAATTACATCAGATATTTTTATACCATTAAAATCACATTGTATGTGCAATTTCATGTGATTTCCCCATTTTCTTCAATATTATAACATTTCCCTATGAAATTTCACTCTTTAAATATTTTAATACTGTATAATATTCAATTATGCAGATTTACCTCACTTCCTCAATTAATCCACTATTTTTAGACATTTAGGTTGCTTTCACACATAAATAATACAATGGTACCTATTTTTTGCCTAAAACATTAATTTTTCTTTTTTAAAACATAATTTATCAAATATTTCTTCTTTTAATGTTCTTTGTTTTTATTGTTCAAATACCTTTGTCTCCATTTTCCCTTGACCACTTTCCCCTGCCCCACCCACCCCCACCTCCCACACTCAATCCTTCCCCACTTTAGCTTTGTCCATGGGTCCTTTATACATGTTCCTTGATTTGACACTTCCTATTCTTTTCCCCATTACCCTCTTCCCTCTCATTACTGGCAGTTTGTTTTTCCTTTCAATGTTGCCAGTTATATTTTTCTTGCACGTTTGTTTTGTTGATTATGTTCCACCTATAGGTGACATCATATGGTATTTGTTCTTCACCCCTGGCTTATTTTGTTTAGCATAATGTTCTCCAGTTCCATTCATGCTGCCTCAAAAGGTAGTAGTTCTTTCTTTCTTTCAGCTGCATAGTATTCCATTGTGTAAATGTACCATAGTTTCTTATTCCACCATTTATTGATGGGACTTAGGTTACTTCCAGCACTTGGCTATTGTAAATTGTGTTGCTATGAACGTCGGAGTGCATAGGTTCTTTTGAATTGGTGTTTCGGGATTCTTAGGGTAAAATCCCAGCAGTGGAATCACTGGGTCAAAAGGCAGTTCCATTTTTAGCTTTTTGAGGAAATTCCAACTTTTTCCCACAGTGGCTGCACCAGTCTGCATTCCCACCAACAGTGTACTAGGGTTCCCTTTTCTCCACAACCTTGCCAACACTTGTTTATTGATTTGTTTATGATGGCCATTCTGACTGGTGTTAAGTGGTATCTCATTGTGGTTTTAATTTGCATTTCTATGATGGCTAGTGATGATTAACATCTTTTCATATGTCTCTGGGCCTTGTGTATGTCCTCCTTGGAGAAGTGTCTGTTCAGGTTCTTTGCCCATTTTTTATTCTGTTGTTTGTCTTCCTGTAGCAGAGTCATATAAGTTCTTTATATATTTTGGAGATCAAACCCTTTTCTGAGATATCACTGGCAAATATATCTTCCCATATGGTTGGTTCCCTTTTAATTTTTCTGATATTTTCTTTGGCCATGCAGAAAGTTTTTAATTTGATGAAGTCCATATATTTATTTTTTTCCTTTATGTCCCTTACTCTAGGGGGCATATTGGTGAAAACATTGCTGCGTGGGATATCTGAGAGGTTCCTGCCTATGTTCTCCTCTAGGACTTTTATGGTGTCACAACTTATATTTAAGTATTTTATCCATCTCTAATTTATTTTTGTGTATGGTGTAAGTTGGTGGTTGAATTTCAATTTTTTGCATGTACCTGTCCAGCTGTCCCAATGCCATTTGTTGAAAAGGCTATTTTTACTCTATTTTAAGCTTCTGACCCCTTTGTTGAATATTAATTGACCATAGAGATATGGGTTTATTTCTGGGCTCTCTCCTCTCTTCTATTGATATGTGTGTCTATTCTTGTGCCAGTATCAAACTGTTTTGATGACAGTAGCATTGTAATATAGTTTGATGTCAGGTATTGTGAACCCTCCTACTTTGTTCTTCCTCAAAATTGCTGCAACTATTCTTGGTCATTTATGGTTCCATATAAATTTTTGAAATGTTTGTTCTATTTCTGTGAAAGACATCATTGGTATTTTAATAGGGATTGTTGGATCTATCAATTGCTTTGGGTAGTATGGACATTTTGATGTTGTTAATTCCTCCAATTCATGAACATGGTATATGCTTCCATTTATTTGTGTCTTCCTTAATTTCTTTCTTCAGTGCTGTGTAGTTTTCTGAGTATAGGACTTTTGCATCCTTGGTTGGTTTATTTGTAGGTACTTTATTTTTCTTATTGGTATAGCAAAGAGGATTTTTTCCTGATTTCTGATTCTGATATTTCATTGTTGGTATACAAAAATGTCTTTGTTTATGAATATTGACTATTTATCCTGCTGTTTTGCCAAATTCACTTATTAGGTTGAATAGTTTTTTCATGGAGTCTATGGGACAGTATCATGTCTTCTGCAAACAATGATAGTTTAACTTCCTCCTTTCCAATTCGGATGTCTTTTATTTTTTTTTCTTTTCTGATTGCTGTGGCTAGGACTTCCAATACTATGTTGAATAGAAGTGGTAAAAGCAGACAACCTTGTCTTGTTCCCTATCTTAGTGGGAAAGCTTTTAGTTTATGCCTGTTGAGTATGATGTTGACTGTCGGTTTTTCTTATATGGCCTTTATTATGCTGAAATATGCCCCCTCTATTACCACTTTGCTGGAGTTTTTTTTCTTTTTATCATAAAGGGCTGTTGTACCTTATCAAATGCATTTTCTGTATCTATTGTTATAATCATGTGGTTTTTGTCTTTCCTTTTGTTTATGTGATGTATTACATTTACTGATTTGCAAATATTGAACCATCCTTGCATCGCTGGGATGAATCCCACTTGATTGTGGTGGTGCAAGACCTTTTTATAGTATTGCTGGATGAAGTTAGCCAATATTTCGTTAAGGATTTTAGCATCTATGTTCATCAGCGATATTGGCCTCTAGCTTTCTTTCTTCATTGTGTCTTTATGTGGTTTTGGTATTAGGATGATGCTGGCCTCATTAAAAGAGTTTTGGAGTCTTCCCTCTTCTTGGATTTTTTGGAATACTCTGAGAAGGATAGGGGTTAGCTCTTCCTTAAATATTCTGTAAAATCTCCTGTGAAACTGTCTGGTCCAGGGCTTTTGTGTACCCAGTGTTTTTTGATTACTGCTTCAATTTCCCCAGCTGTTATTGGCCTGTTCAGGCTTTCTGCTTCTTCTTCATTCAGTGTTGGAAGGCTATATTTTTCTATAAATTTGTCCATTTCATCAAGGTTTTCAAATTTCTTGGCATTTAATTGTTCATAGTAATTTCTTACAATCCTTTGTATTTCTGTGGTAATAGTTATTATTTCTCCTCTTTCAGTTCTGATATTATTTATTTTGGTCCTCTTCCCTTTTTTGTTGATGGGTCTGCTTAAAGGCCTGTCAATTTTGTTTATCTTATCATAGAACC